CTCATGCCTGTAATCCCAGCACTTTGGGAAGCTGACATGAGAGGATCACTTGAGCCTAGGAGTTAGAGACCAGCCTGGGCAACATGGCAAGACCATCACTATTAAAAAAAAAAAAAAAATCCAAAACCCATGTGTTGGGTGCTATGCTGGCTTCTGAGGTCTGGTGGTGACCAAGAACACCAGCTGGACCCTAACCTCCCAGAGTTTCCAGCCTGAAGAGGGAAGCAGACAAGTGTGAAAAATCAGAACTGCAATATATGATCTGGGCAAGGGCTGGAGGGCTTGGGGAAGGCTTCCTGGAGGAAGGGGTGTCTGAGCTGATCCTTGTAGGTGGAGAGTCACCGGGAAGAGCTTGCTTAGCAGAGGACCCGGTGCCTCAAAGCTGAAAAGGGCAGGCAGGTTGTGGGGAAGCTGAGCTGGGGAAGGTGCAAACGCGGCTCAGGCGAAGGCCAGGTGGGCTCATCTCCATGCTGGCCTTTGATGGCCAGAGTCTTGTGCAAATGGGATATGTTAGGAATCGCACTCAGAGGCAGCACCCTTGAAGGCCGTGTGCCAGTGGCGGATGGACTCTAGTGCCAGCAGCCCGACCTCTCCAGTTAATGTGGAAACGAGTGGTTTTGAGTTTGCATAGCTGTTTGATTTATAGTCTTCTCTCTGGTCAGCCCTTTGAAGCGGTGGTTTCAGAGCCATGTGGAATGGAGGGAGAGTGGCTATGAGACACGGGGATAAGGACCACACGTTTTCTTCCTCTGGCATTTCTGAGCATACGTTATGTGCCAGGTGGTGTAGTACGCACTGGGGACATGAGGGAGATATGGTCCCTGCCCTGATGTATAATTACAGGGAGATCTAACCTAGTCTTTTTGAGGGCCTCCGTGCTGCAGTTGAATATGAGCTAGGTATCATCATTCATTCCTGTTTACTGGTGGGTGAACTGAGGCTCAGAAACAGAACTGGGGCTGTGCAACCTAGTATATGGTGGATTTGAACCCAGATGTGTTCAACTCAGAAGCCTGGGGGCTCATGTCTACTGTGGGAGACCGAGGCAGAAGCTGTTAACTGTAGTATGAGGCCCTCCATGATCGGGGCTCTGAAAGAGTCACATGCGACATACTAGGAAGGGGAGAGGGGGACTCTGACTTGGCCTGAGTAGGACACTCCAGCAGGTATTGGAGGAATAGCTGCTAGGTGAGTGTGTGCCTGGCCGGCAGGAGCCATGGAACAGAGCTGGGGGCTGGGGGAGGTTGGGGCCCTGGTTTTGAAATTTGCCTCTGGTCTCAGTGGGTGGGATGGATCAGAGTCGGGTGAGCCAGGGTAGGGCATATGAGTGCTTCCACTTAGACCTGTAGGATAAAAGCTCAATCGAGTCTGTGCGTTGTGAGCTTCATTCCCTGAAGGTGCTCCCAGTGTCTTAGGTTCCGTAGTAGGACAGCAAGTAGACTCAGACTCCTGAGCCTCAGAGGTGTGATTAGCAGTCTGCTCTGGGCGCCTGAAGGGTATGGGGCACAGAAGTGTCACAGGGTCAGCCTCTGTGTAGGTGGTTTCACCAGACATCAGAACTGTACAGTTGAGAGTGTGGGATTATTTTGATTCTGACTCAGTGCTCCCACTCCAGCAGTTGTCTATACTTGCCACTGCACCCTGAAGGGAGCAGGGACCATGGGAGAGGGGTCGGTAACCCCGAGGGGGTTGAATCTGGGTCTGTCAGTTTGTTGGTGAGCCTGGGGCCAAACTAGTTTCTGGGGGAAATTGCAGAAAGGCTGATGTAGCAACAGTGGGTGGTTTCATTATTATGGGCCTTGTGCTGACATCTCTGTAGCCACAGAAGTTCTTAACCTGGGGTCTGTGGATAGAATTCAGGGAGTCCATCCATGAACTTAGATGGGGGAAATTGCACTTTTATTTTCATTAACCTTAGCTGGAGTTTAGCATGTCTTCCACTTGGTTGTAGGCAATGCAGCACAGTTATCTTAGCAAACACCTGTACCTTGGTCACCAGTAGGAATCACAGCTGTTTTTACCATTACATCACAGTTGTAGAGCTATCGGAAAAAGCAATTTACACTTGTCACTACTTTAAAGTTATGGCAGTTATTAGACACACTGTTGGATGTATAATACTTTAATAAAGAAGCTTTTATTATGCTATCACAGTGTGTTTTTTTTTGTTTTTTTGTTTTTGTTTTTTTGGTTGTTTTTTTTTGAGACAGAGTCTCCAGTCACCCAGGCTGGAGTGCAATGGCATGATCTCAGCTCACTGCAACCTCCGCCTCCCAGGTTCAAGTGATTCTCCTGCCTCAGCCTCCCAAGTAGCTAGGATTACAGGTGTGCACCACCATGCCCAATGAATTTTTGTATTTAGTAGAGACGGCGTTTCACCATGTTGGCCAGGTTGGTCTTGAACTCCTGATCTCAAGTGATCCGACTGCCTTGACCTCCCAAAGTGCTGGGATTACAGGCGTGAGCCACCATGCCTGGCTGTCTATCACAGTTTTAAGTAATTTGTTAAATGTGTTTAAATACAATTGATTTCCTTTGTAATTCTAAGTGTGTGGTTTTACACATTTAAAGGCATTGTTCTGTTCAGTCGTGATAGCTCCCACCTGTAATCCCAGGACTTTGGGAGGCTGAGGTAGGAGGATTGCTTGAGCTAAGGAGTTCAAGATCAACCTGGGCAACATAGTGAGACCCCTTCTCAAAAAAAAAAAAAAAGATAAAGATTTTAAAAAGAAATAAATGAAAGTATTGCTCTTAGAAAGAGACCATGGGCCTCCCTAGACTGTTGAAAGGGTCTATGGCCCCAAAATGGTTATAAGCTCTTATTCTAATTGGAAATTGAGCCTATCTAGATATTTGAAATTAAGAATTATGAAATCATCATTTTTTTCTTTGTAAAATATTGTGACTCTGCTAACAAGAGTCCTTGCTCTTTAGAAAAATGTACTGAGGGCCTGGCACAGTGATCCTAAGTGTTCTGTTTTATACTCAGATCAAGTGATCCGCCCACCTCAGCCTCCCAATCCTGTAATCCCAGCACTTTGGGAGGTTGAGTTGGGCGGATCACTTGAGGTCAGGAGTTTGAGACCAGCCTGGCCAACATGGTAAAAACCTGTCTCTACTAAAAATACAAAAATTAGTCCCATGTTGTGGCACATGCCTGTAGTTCCAACTACTTGGGAGGCTAAGGCACAATTACTTGAACCCAGGAGGTGGAAGTTGTAGTGAGCCAAGATCGTGCCACTGCACCCTAGCCTGCCAGCCTAGGTGACTGAGACTCCATCTCGAAAAAAGAAAAAAGAAAAATTTACTGAGATACAGGCTGAGTATCGCTTGTCTGAAATGCTTGAGCTCCAAAGTGTTTTGGATATTTGATTTTCTAGAATTCTGGAATATTCTATTATACTTAATGGCTAAGCATCCCAAATCCAAAAGTTCAAAATCCAAAATGCTCCAATGAGCATTTCTTTTGAGTATCATGTCAGTGCTCAAAAAGCATTAGGTTTTGGAGTGGTTCAGATTCTGGGTCTTTGGAAGCATTTTGGATTTGGGGTTTTTGGATTTGAAATGCGCAACCTGTAGTTACAGATGAAAAGGAACGAATTAACACCAAAACCATGAGGGGCAGCAGGGCCTGAGAAGTGTCTCCAAAAGGCACGTTTCTGTATGAGACTGTGAAGGTGGTACTTGTTTTGGGGGGACACTTGGAAGTCATCCTTAGGAGCCCACTAGAGTCTTAGCAACATTTCAGGAGCTCTCCCTGGGTCCCTGGGTCACTTGGCCGTAGCCAAGCCAGGGAGCTCCCTGGTCTCCTGGCAGTGAGCTGGTTTCCATCTGTCTAGCCTACCCGGCCTCTGTTTTGAACGCGTTTCCCTTATTTTTCATCTGCCGTGGGCCGTGCCCTCCTTGTGCTTCTTTGCACTGTGTTCCCCAGTCTAGTGCTGGACACCCGGTCAGAGCCGGCGTTTGTCAGGCCGACCTAAGTCGGGCTGTCCTTGTTTAAGCTTATTGTATTTGAAGTTTTAGCCATTTGCGAGTCTTTTGAAAGCTTTAGACAATAACTCTAGAAAATACACAGACTCACACGTCTGAAATTTGCATACATTTCAGGGTGTGGATCCCTGAAAGCCTGCTGGGGATCCAAGGCCAGGACCCTGGTCAGTACTGCTACTGCTCAGTGGTCATGGCGATACTGGCGGTGCTCGCTGTGTGCCAGACACGTCATTTTTTCTTTCTCTCTGAGAATCAGCTTCTGTTATCATCCCCATTTTTCTGGAGGAGGAGATGGGGACCTTTATGGGGGATTAAGTAACATGTCCAAAGTCACAGAGCTAGGATGTGACTGAGCCCCTGGATCCCAACCCAGCCAGTTGGATTCTAGGCTGGAAGAGCCCTTTGCAGGAGGGTAGCCTTCTCCTCAAACCAGCAAGTCTTCCATCTTAGCAATTACCAACTCCCTGACCCCACTCTGGCAGGAAAGCCTTCTGTTTTTCTGAGACAGGGTCTTGCTCTGTCACCCAGGCTGGAGTGCAGTGATGTGATGATGGCTTACTGCAGCCTTGACCTCCTGGGCTCAAGTGATCCTTCCACCTCAGCCTCCCAAGTAGCCGAGACTATAGGCATGCGCCACCAACCATGCTCTGCTAATTATTGTATTTCTGGTAGAGACGAGGTTTTGCCATGTTGGCCAGGCTGGTAGGAAGGCTGCCTTATATTTAACCCTGCTCTCGGTTCTGATCGCCCATGACTCTCTATGTCCTGAGGTGGGCAGTATTGGCCGCCTTGGGTGGGGCAGGGGGTTCATGGGTGGCCAGCAGGCTCTGGCTGCTCTCTCAGACCCTTCTCCTCCCTTTCCCCCTCCCCTGCCAACAGCAAGAGGAGAGCCTACCCCCTCCCTCATCGCATTGCTTGTGTCTGCCTGAGCTCCTCTATAGCGTGCTCAAGCCTGCCGCATGCTTGGGCCACAGATGAACACAGGTTTTTCTTTTCTGCACTTCCCGCAGGCGAAGCTGGTCCGGTACATTTGTAAGCAGCGGCAGTGCAAGCTGAGCGTGGCTCCCAGCGAGAGGACCCCGGAGCTCAACAGCTACCCCCGCTTCAGCGACTGGCTGTACACCTTCAACGTGAGGCCGGAGGTGGTGCAGGTATGCAGGTCGGGGCTGCACAGGGGTAGGCATGAAGGACCAAGAAGAGGGCACACGCACACACCGCAGGGCTAGCTTCCCCATGGCTAAGGGGTGATGCACTCTACTCTTGAGAAGGAGGATGGGGAGGGACAGCAGCAGCCGGGAGGGATCCAGGGTACATGTGGCTCGGACAGGCGCCCTGGGAGCTATTGCCTGATGAGCTAGGGCAGCGCCACACTGGCCACTGATTTGTTCACCACACTTACAACAGTCAGCATTTATGGAAGCATAGCTGCGTGGCAGACACTGTGTTAAATGTTTCTGTGTTTTGTAGGACAGACAATCTCACTTCTCATGAAATCCTATAAGGAAATTACTATCATCGTTGCCATTTTATACGTGAGGAAAGTAAAGCACAGAACGGTGAAGTAAGTTATTTAAAATCACACAGCTAGTAAATGATAGCCTTGGAATTTGGAAACCAGAGTCTGAATTTAGTTTAGTCTTCAAACTGCTACAATATGCTGTCTTCCTTCCATTGTTCTCTCTGCCTGTCTATGTAACCTACCCACCTGTCAGCCAGCCAACTAACCAACCAGCCTGCCCTGATGTGTGCTGTGCCAGGTGCCAGGAGTGCAGGTCAGCTCTCATGGGGTGCAGGTCAATCCTACTTGGCAGGTGCGGTTCACCCAGTCAGATCTCATAAATCCCCTACTTCTACCCCAAAATTAATAATACTAGCTTTTGTTACTGTGTAAAAAGTAGCATGAATGCATAATATGTAGATACTTTGGAAACAGAGAAGGAAATAAATCACATGCATACTCTCTGCCACTCAGAAAATCTATGATCATCAAGGTTGGCGTTTTTTTTTTTTCCCTCCCAAAACAGAAATCTTTTAAAAATTTCTATCTGGCCTGTCCTGTACGGTAGTCACAAGCCTCGGCTAGTCCAAATTAAAATGTGCTATAACTTCAAAGATAGCAACTCATTAGAAATAAGTCATTAGTAGCTTTTTATATCTAGCATAAATGATGCTCCTGGATATATTAGGCTAAATAAAACATTATTAAAATTAATTTTCTATATTTTTACTTTTTAAAGTGTCACTTCTTGATAATTAAAATCCGAGTATGTGGCTTGCATTGTATTTCTGCTGAACAAAACTGGTTTAAACCATCCTGAATAAATTATGTCTTGTTCTTACCATTTGAAATGCGAACCAACATGTTTTCTCCACATTTTCACCCTTTTGTGGTATATTTGTTATTTATGTTTTATTGAACACCTATGACGTAGTACCAGGCAGAGGTCAGTTCCAGCCATTGGCTATGAGATCATAGTGTTTAATATTATTTATGAAGCAATTTGTATCATTAGGAATTTTCCCTAGGAGAGATTCCCAGATGAAAGTGATACCAACATCAAAGGTTCCATCATGGGGTGCGGGCGATTGGGGAGACCTATGGGGGGGGCTCAGTGCCAAGAGCTTTCTGCACCTCAGATGGTCCTGGAGCTGTCCCAGGCCCCCAGGCCACTCATACCCGTGACTCTCAAGAAGCTGGCAGAAAGGACTGGGGTAGCGTGAGGTGAAGTGTAACTGCTATATGAGGCAGAGGTTCCTCACAGTCAAATATACCTTCAGATGTCATGTACAATGAGCTACAGTCTCCATCCATCTCCCCACCCGCCTGCCTGCCCAGCAGTTTTCTGCCTATAGGAAGGTGATCATATGTGTAATGTTGAGTTACTGATTTAAAATCATGAGGGCCAGGCACGGTGGCTCAAGCCTGTAATCCCAGCACTTTGGGAGGCGGAGGCGGGCAGATTGCTTGAGTTCAGGAGTTTGAGACCAGCCTGGCAAACATGGTGAAACCTGTCTCTACCAAAAATACATAAATTAGCCAGGTGTGGTGGCACGCACCTGTAACCCCAGCTACTTGGGTGGCTGAGGCAGGAGAGTCACTTGAATCTGGGAGGTGGAGGTTGCAGTGAGCTGAGATTGTACCACTGCACTCCAGCCTGGGTGACAGAGTGAGACCCTGACACACACAAACACACACATGCACACACACACACAAAATAAAAAGAATAAAATAATAAAATTATGGACTTGGAGATTATGAAGAGTTGAGTGGTCCCTCAGCCCCCCACGCATTCTACCTTGTTGCCTTCCCACCACCCTCTGCCCCTCCCCTCCCTAAGAGCTCAGAGGCAGAAAGCAGCTTCTGCTCACACTTCCGTCCTCAGCTTACGGTGAGGACATGAGGGCTGTATGTCAGCCCCAGAGCTAGTAGCAGAGACATCCTTAAGATTCAGACCCAGCCATGCTGGACTCCAGAGGGCCCTTCACTTCTTTCTCCGGTCCTAAGACATCTTTTGCGGATAGCTTAGCTTCCCAAAGGATTTCCCTCTGGAGATCCGAAATGTGTAGGGGACCCAGCTTTATCTATGTCCACCTTTGAGAGAGGGGCCAGGAGTTCTGGGGCAGAGGCCAGTACCACGGAGGTCAGGTCAGCCGCAGGGGCTGCTTTGGCTTCTGGACAGCTCTGTGGTGATAGCTGGGACAGGGGTCTTCCAGCCAGGCCCAGAGGTATAGGCGATACTGAATCAGGTAACGTTTGAAGCATGAAGTTATGAGTGAAGCAACAGAGCTTGGTGGTCACTGAGGGGCAAGCTCATTTGTATCCAGGGATCAGGCAGGCCGCAGAGCCCAAAAGCCAGAGAGGGTAGGCAACCAAGATGTCACTTGGAGTGGGGGACTGGAGTGGATGCCTGGGTGGAGAGAGCTCTGTGGCATGCTGGAGTCAGGGCGCAGCAGCAGGAGCACTCCAGCGTCCAGTGACTTCTCCACCTGGAGATGAAGAAGCATCTCAGAAACTAACGTGTTTTGAGCAGGGCTCTTACTTTTCCCTGGCTATTGACATACACGTTTTCTTCCCACCCCGTCTTCCCATCCCAGTAAATGGCAGCATTGTCTACTAGTTGCCTAAGCCAAAAACCAGGACTGGTCCCTGCTTCTTCCCTTGCTCCAGGCCCTGTGGCTCTCCTGCAAGGCATACTCACTCCTCACCTCCGGCACCGTGGTCCAGGCTGCTGTTGCCTCCTGCAGAACCTCGCAGCGGCACCTTCAAGATTTCTGGGTTTTTTTTCCTCCCAAATCTCATGTAAGTTCCTGGGCTGTGGCCAGAGTATTCTAAAGCCTAGAAGGAAAAGGCTATTGCCTTTAGTAAACCCAGCTTCAGCTCCTACGGACTGGGGAGAGGGCTACCGTGGTTCAGTTCTGCCTCTAGGAGTTTCTCCTTGGCCATGTGTGGAAGCCTAGTGATGGGGGAACCCCGAATTTGAGCAGCTCCCCAGGGCTTGGGCTCCAAGGGCTGGCCCCAGGGGTGTGGGCCTATTTTATTCTGTTTCTTAACCCAGACA